ATTTCCTATGATGAATGCTATCATTATGTATATTAAAAGTGTACCAGTAAATTAATTTTAAAAATAACTGATAAAGTAAAAATAAAAAGGTTGATTTTTGTAAGCAAATTAGAAACAAAAGAACAAACGGTTTTCTACCAAGCAAAGAAATGTTATAATTCTTTAGATATATCCTGATTCTGAGCAGAAAACAAAAGTGTAATATAATAATAAGAAAAATACGGATGCATACGCCCTATTTCTGCCTGCAGTTCTATATATTGCAGTGCCAATTCATACTTTCTGCATAAAGTAAAATATTTATCTTTATAAGAATCATCATATGGTAAAACATTAGCAAGATAAGTTTGAAGCTAATAATTATTTCTTTTCAAGAAGAAAAAATATAAAGTAGCTATTTCACCGGTCTCACCGTGACTTACTCACTTTGCCGGAGACACATTTACTTCTCTCCAAATAGCCTCTCATCCTCCGTGTCTCTCAACTGCCTGCATTGAAGTGAAGTCAAATTCAGTCTAATGAGTGGTGAGAGGAAGTGACCTACGTTGTCGCTTCCTCATTAAGAGCCGGTGTTCAGCCCTGAGAATGCCTGTTTCCCTTCTGCGATCCCAAAGGCCCTGAGTTGGATTAAGTTACTGCATGGGAGAGAGGCTGTTACAGTTTATATAAGTCTGGGTGTCACCCCAAAGTGTCATGTTCTCCAAGGTAGAGCTTTTGAAGGGTGACTGAAGCAAGGGGACACCCTAGCTAAATGTGATGCTAGGAGGTGGGGCCTGGTGAGCAGAGGTGGGTCACTGGGGCTGTGTCTTGGTGAGGTGCATCTCCCTCCCTGTTCTTTTCACTCTCTGCTTCCTGGCCACCGTATATGAGTAGTAGCTCTTCTCCAAGGCAGGCCCTTCCTCCAAGCCAGAGCCTGCTGACTAGGGACAGAAACTTCTGAAAAATGTGAGCCACTGTCCAATGTTTGTCCCAGTGAAGAGAATGTGACTAAGACCGAGAGGAACATCAGTCACTTTACTCCTATCAGAACTTGTGTGAACAGGAAATAAACTTTCATTGTGAAAAGCCTCAGCAACTTAAGTCTGACTTCTCTAACTAATCCATCCTTTATCCTTCACCTCTTTGTATATTATTTTTACTACTTCGAATTATATTGAGGAGCTTGGACAAAGTAAGATCATTTCTACTAAATCAGCTTACTGTAGCCTGCTAGTTCTTAGCAACAGCCTGGAATATCAGGTCTGGGGATGAAAGGCTACGTTATTGTTTACCTTACCTAGATTCTCTGCTCAACTGGAGGCCTTATGTGTTTTAATAAGGATTTTGTTAACAGGTCTTAATTTTTTATGTGTGTATTTGAAACATATTTCCTTTGCAAAAAGGCACAATGTTCTTCTAAAAAGAACCTCTAAAAAAGATCATTGTCTAACCTATTCATCTACCAGTGACGTTAGTTCACCATAACTTTTTTCCACTTGTGATGATGAACTGATTCTAAAGATATTAGGGGTTAGAAATGATTCAGTAGCATTTAAACTGAATGACTGGATGTTGTCTTACTGTTCTCCTAGCTAATGACTGTTTGGATCATGGATATGTTCCCAAAGGTATTAGCAGTGCCCTCCATAGCCACAATCTTGTAATTCTGAACAGATACACTGAATTACATGAACTATTCAAGCTCTCATAGAGCGATTGTTAGATGAAGTAGAGAATAATGTTATTGTTTATTTGAGAGCTGACTGAATAACCAAATTCTAGTCACGGAGGTTATGCTGAGCCTTCGGAAATAGCATTTAGCCTCCCAATAATATCAAGTATTTCAGTGTTAGCTTATCTGGTAAAGCGTATCAAAACATGAAATTAAATAACTAAACAGTACTCAGGCTAAAATGTGTTTTGAAGGGAAATAAAGAATATATCCTGGCCAAAAAATCACGAGATTTTATCTTGATGATGTTGTTGTTTAATAAAAATGAATTCTAGCATCAGTTGAGAAGACCACACCTTGATATTTTTTTCGTGAGAGTCTAAAAGCTTGCACTAATTTATCATTCTAACTTCAGGGCTATAGGTGGCACATAACTTACACATAAACATGCCCCTACAGTCAAACACGTATTTCTACCCAGCCTCAGTGCACTGCAAGAAAATCCATTTATGTAACTATCCATTTATATTGATTTAGTTTATAGCTGAACATCTGTTTATTTATCTTAGGTTCCTCTCCAGATGATGTATTCACCTTGCTTTGTGATGCTAACATACAACACATACCCCATTCTCTGTCTTGTGCAGAAGAGCTGTTGGATGTCATTATTCACCGAATAGCTTTGTCAGGGGTTGCCATTTGTGATTCTCAATAGTATTCATAGCTGGCCCTAACAACCTCTGCTGGAAAGCCTTGTAAGCCAACCTGACAAAAATAATGGGCAGAATGGTAGAGGAATAAATTTCAATTGGTACAAGAAGCCAAATATGCTGAATAATACATGTGAATAGTATTCCTGGTAAATTGAAAGTTGCCATTAGTGCAATAAGGTTACTCAGAAAAACCATGAAGATACTTGAATGAAAGATACTCGAAATTATCTTTACCCAGAGTCAAAGACCTAAAGCCAATTCTCAGTATCTGTTTAGAGCCAGCCAGTACAGTGTTTGGTTGAAAAAGTTGGCACTTTCTGGAGAGGACACACAGACTATCCTTGCCTGTTTCCTCATCTGTAAAGGTAATAATAAAGCATGATCATGAAAAATATATGAATTTATATATCCAAAGTAAACAGAACAATGGCACATAAAAATGCTATATAAATGTTAGCTAATATAGAATATATCTAATACTAACACTATGGCATGAACTCATAACAGCTGCTATGCTAATATAATTTAATCCTTTTAATATATGTTGAAAATTATCGCTTCTAACTGCATTGTGTTAATTGAAAATAGCTATATGATTTTATGTGCCTTGTGCAGTGGAGTAGTTCATAATTTTAAAAGTAAATCCCACATGACATTTATCTCTCTCAGAAAATAAAGCCTAGAAAAAAAGATAGTAATTTTCATTTTGTAAGAAACAAAACCCATAGAAGTCAAGATATAGAATAAATGGGGGTTTCTTTATGACTTGTAGGTATCTTATCCTTAAGCCAATAATTTCCCAATTTGAGGTGGGGGGCATGGAATTGGCTTTTGTTTCAAGCTGGAATTTCACTTTCCCTTGTATACAACTGCTGAGTTGATTTGGGGAAAGATTAAAAGAGGGATTTTAAAGCATTGTTTTTAATATTAATCAAATGACATCAAGTATATTAGCAAACATTCAGCAAAAGTCCAGACGGGAAGCATTTCAAGCTTTGCCAGACACAGTCTCTGTCAAAGCACACCCATTTCCGGCATCACAGCGTAAAACCTGACCAGACACAAGGAAATGAATAGGTGACTATTGACACTGTACTTAGAAGAGGAGGTAGGGATGGGATTAATTCGACTCATGGATCATAGTTTGTTGACCCCTACTCTACAAAATTATTTTTTCTCATATTTGTAGTAGGGTATAAGACACACACATGCACACTGTGTCCTTGCACACTTAACATAAGCAGGCATGCTCTCTTAAAAATAAATCAATCTATGTAATATTAATTTATTAAATTCCAAAGGCTCTGAACAAGGCCCAGCACTGGTCCAACATTTTATATTTATCCTAAAATCAGTCTACAATGTTTTAATTTGCCTACTAAAACTCCTCCTAACAATTCTTTAAATGCTCTTAAGTTCCTTATGATAATGTTTTGAGAACCAAGGAGGTGAATTAAAGGGGAAAAAATCTGTGTGCATAGATTTGGGTGGTCAAATCTGTCTTGCTAAAATAATTATCAAATTATTACAGGGAACTCTTTGTGCTTATTTTAATGTTAAGCATTTCTGCCTTTAATATTCATTGAGAGACTTGTTTACTGTGTGTGAATGCTCACAGATTAATGAGCTAATACACATAAAAACACTGAATACAGGACCTGGCCGACTCTATATGTGTTGCTTTTAAATCAACATCTTTTTGGTCATGTCCAGATTCACATTACTCTTCAGAGGGTCATAGAGAAGAATTGAGCCATCTCTATGTAATTAAGTCTTTCCTAGTTTACATTTCCTGCTGGGTTTTGTAGAGTTAGTAGCTATCATATTTTGGGTGCCAAGCTTTTTACCTATAGAGTAACCACTTCCCTAAGGATGTAACAGCCTTGGAGATTCAGATTAGATACCTAATATATGATATCTTGACTTCAAAGTAAGCCTTAGGTCAGTAATCACTTCTGCAATGCACATTCTCCTCTACAGATAGGATGACTACACATGAGTGTTTTCTGGGATAAAAAAGAAACTTGTACCTTCTAAGTAACTGTTTATTCTAGCTACCACGTAGTAAGGAGCTTTCTATATTGTTTTGAGTGGCTCTTCTAAGCAGAAATACTAATCTAGAATGACTTGTAGGATTCTGAATGTCAAAATAAGCTTAGTACTCCAGAGAGAATATTTAATTAGTTGTCAAAAAATTCCTCTTTCCATTCTGTGCTGGAAAAAGTCAATGCAGACTGGGCTAGAGGCCCAGACTTTTAAAGCTTATTGGATATAATTAACAATTTACCAGAATGAATGTATTCTTTTGGGAGAGAGTACGATTGCCTACTATTTATTAGCTGCAAACAATTTAAAAATTTACTCTCCCTTGTATGAAGCACTATTGGAATGATGCAAAAAAGAGAACAAGCATGCAGAGTTAGTCTTTTTCTACTCTGTCCCATTCATCTGACATACTACCTCGCAAGTTATAAACATGCAATATTTGAGGACTATAAAGAACCATTGACATCCATCTTGGTGTCTCATAACTACCCACATAAAAAAGCTGTGAGTTCAGGTTTACAGTAAGGTACATGATGTAGTCTGTGTGTATGGATTTAAAATGGCATTATTAATTTTCTAATTTTTTACAGAAAGAAGACAGAACTTATTATCAACCCTTGGCAAACACAACATAAGGAACTTTACCATTTTGCCACATTCTTGGATAGGTAAGACCCTCCATTCTCTACTAGCAATTACCCACAGTTGTGAAAAATAGCTCTTTGCTATGCTTCATAAATTCTTAAGTAAATAACAATTCATTTTGGTAAAGGAGAAATATACTTATGAATTCTACAGCTACTAGAATTATTAAGATAGCATGGTGTTTGGACTGACACTACTAGAGAATGCAAAGATGTTTCCATGAAATGATGATTGTACCAAGCCTGTCTTTCTTGCTATGGTTAACAATACCAGTAATATTTTCTCAGCACCTTCTGCTTGCCAAACATGCTCCTATGTATTTGACTTCATAAAAATTAATTTGTTTCTTATAAAACAGACTATAAGATGAATTTCATGATGCAAAGATCATGCCATTTTACATATGGGCACAAGGCAGACAGCAGTTAGTTTATTGCCTTTATTATTGTATTATTTTAGTTTTAAGAAACAAAGTTTCTAAGCAAAATATTTTTTAAATTATACTAAATATCCGAGTACCTAAACTAAAGTAATGCTAATATCCAGCTGTATTAAAATCTTCCCTAAGAAAATAAACTGTTATAGAAAGAAGAAAAGCTTTTCTTGCTATCTCACTTGCCTCTTTTCTCCCTAAGAGGTGTCATGATGTTAAATAACTTTCCCATGTGTCTTTTAATATGTGTGTGACATGTGTATAAAACAAAATCATATGATTATTTACATCTTAAAGTGTACATAAATATGTACACTGGCTGAAGATGTTCTTTTACAGCTTGCCTTCACCTACCATTATATTTATATTCACCCAAATTGATACATGAATATCTGATTGGCTCTTGCTAAGTGTTAAAAAAATGACTCATTTGAATATTTTTATATTCTGGTGCTTACTATGGTTTCTAAATTACTTTCTAAATTATTTAACATTTTAATGCTGAAATTGTTTAAACATGACTTACAAAAGCATTTAGAATTTGTGTATAAGAAATCTTAAGTTCCTCATTTTATAGCATGCCAGTCCTGCTTGTATATGGTTTTTTTTCCAACTAGAAATACATTTTTTTAAATTGGCTTGTAAAATCTTGATGATCTAATGGGAACCATGATTTTTACTGTTTTGCTATAACATCATAATTGAAATTTGTGTTATTTCCCCATAGATGAAATGCTGAGTTTTCCAAAATATACTGGAAATACTACTTTTGAAATTTAAGATACTTAAAAGAAAAATACTTCTGGGGGGGCCATGTCAATTTCTTTTATTTTCTTAAAATATCAAGGGAGAAGTAAAAAAAAAAGAGATGCTCTTCAAATTGTTTCATAACACTATAGTTAATTCTAGAAATTGTTTGCACATAAATGGAAGTTTCATTTATTCCAACAATAATTATTGGCATTTATGTATGCAAACTAGAGACATATTTAAAAGGCAAGGCAGATGCAATATCTGCCAAAAATGAGAAAACAGGCTAGTGGTGAATGTGAAGATTCATTCAGTGATTCTAAAATGTAGCCATTTAAGTATATATTTTTTTCATAAATTTTTATTCATATGACGATCTTTGACATCACCCAACCATACCAATTTCATTAAACTGAATAGTGTAATAGTAATAAAAATGCTTGGTAAATAAAGCCCTTTTCAATCATGTGCTAATATTGCTAAGTACTGTACTGTATAAAATTTAGGATTAGATACTTCCAACATAACATACATAATTCAACCTGTAAAGATTGATTTATGTTTAAATCTTAATAATTAAAACAGAATCCACATCGTTTTCAGGTAAAAACTCCCTTTAATATTACAGTACAGTAGTTCACTGCTCTGAATATTTTTTCTCCAGCCTTCACAACCTATTAACTACTTTAAGCCTCATAAATCATAATACCAAGCTTTTGCCTGTCCAGAATATTACCATGATTCACCATCTCCACTTAGCATTTAAATCTGCTGTCTCTCCTTTTACTACTGTGCTAGCTCCCTTTACTCAACCTTTATCTCTCTAGTTCATTGTCATCACAGAAGTCAGAATGGTCCTTTTGGTAAAAATATGAATCAATTGATGTGATTCTCTTGTTCAAAACCCACGAAGGTTCCTTAGAATAACCCACAACCCTACTGTGACCAACAAAGTGCTACATGAACTGGGTCTCCCCGCCTCCTGATATCACATCCATGCCATTTCCCACTGAGGACAAAGTCAGCGTCACTTCTAAGCTGTCACCAACATCTAGAGCTACCACCTGTTTTGTTGGCCTTCATTTGTTGAAGGATAAGAAGGGATACAATGGTTGTTGTGAACCAGTGGTAGTAGATGCTTTGCACATACGCTTTATTCAGTGCACATCAATGACTGTCATTGGCTTTCAAGAATTGTTTTTTAACTTTTACCTTAACAGTGACTGTCACTTCTGCAGGGCTAAAGATGTTCATGTTTTTGACCCATGATTATATAGTATTATGAAAACCTGCTGATTTATAACCTCAAATCTTAATTTATATGACCCAAAAATCTCACATAGACAAATTTCAGGCCAAATTAGCTGCATAGAAATGAGAAAAAATAGTTGAAGAGCAGAAAATATGTATTATTCCATGCAATCTTTTAACTAAACAAAACTTGCCACAACTCAGTATTTTTTAGATTTTATTTTATCTACAGCATAGATTTAAATATTTTCTTTTTTTTTCAGCTTTAATTGAGTTTATTGGTACATTTTAGGGATACAGTACATTTACATTCATTGTTGGGATCTTGTACCTCTACATGACAAGTCTTGATTCTCATTTTTTCCCTTTACTCTGCCCTCCCTTCACCCCCTCCTCCCCTCCCCATCTACAAACACTTTATTTTCATCTTTTCATTCTCTCGCATTTTTTCCTTTTCCCTTTTTACTCTTCCCCTACCCATCCCACCTTCCCTACACCTTTAGCTCCTTTCTTCCCATTTCTAAATGTCAGTAATCTTATTAGAATCTTATGCATTGTTGCAGATTATTTACACCAGGGAAACTATTCGGTATTTACACGTGTGACTTATTTATTTCACTTAGGAGTATATCTTCAATATGTATCCATTTTCCTACAAATGAATCTATTTTCTCATTCTTTATGGCTGAGTAATATTCCATTTTATAGAAAAACCACAACTTCTTTATCCAGTTTCCGACAGATGGGCAAATAGGCTGTTTCCAAGATTTAGCTATTACAAACTGTGCCGCTATAAACATGGGTGCACATACTTCTCTGTGATATGATTCTTTTAGTTCTCTTGGAAAGATACCCAGCAGAGGGATGGCTGGGTCAAATGGAACCTCCAGTCCAAGCTCTTTGAGGTATCTCCATATTGATTTCCATAGTGGTTGCACTAGTCTGCACTCCCACCAACAATGGAGGAGGGTTCCTTTCTCCCCACAACCCCGCCAACATTTGTTATTGTGTGATTTCTTGATAGCAGCCATTCTTTGTGGGGTGAGGTGGAATCTCAGTGTTGTTTTCATCTGCATCTCTCGAATGACCAGTGATGTGGAACATTTTTTCATATATTTTCTTGCTGCTTTTACTTCTTTGTATGAGAAATGTCTGTTCATTTCGGATGCCCATTTTTGGATCGGGTCTTTATATTTGGGGGGACTGATTGTTTTGAGTTCTTTATATATCCTTGATAATAGTCCTTTGTCTGAGGTACAGCTGGTAAAAATTTTTTCCCACATTGTAGATTGTCTCTTAGTTCTGCTAATGGTTTCTTTTGAAGTACAGAAGCTTTTTAGTAAGATGAGATCCCAGTTGTTGATTCTTTCTGCTAGTTCCCGTGCTACTGAGGATTTGTTCATAAAGTCTTTTCCTATACCAATGTCTTCCAGAGTTCTGCCTAACTTACCTTCCAGCAAGTTTAATGTTTCTGCTTTAATATTTAGATCTTTAATCCATTTGGATTTTTTTTTAGTGCATGGCAAAAGATAAGGGTCTAATTTTAATCTGTGGCAGGTTGACATCCAGTTTTTCCAACACCATTTATTAAAGAGGCTATCTTTCCTCCACTGAGGATGGTCAGCTCCTTTTCTTATTCATAGATAAGTGAAATTTATCCATTAAGACAATTTTTTTTGTAAAGCAGGCTGAAAATTTCTCATTTTGTGTTTCATTTTCGCAATATTCTCAAGAAGCAGCACTTAATGACTATATTGTTGAGGACATTTCAAAACAGAAAGATAAATAGGACCACAATACTGCAACAGCCATGAAAAGAGAACACAAACCTGGTGTTTCTACCATCCTCTCTGGTGAAATGAATACCGTGGTTTGTGCTGATCACAACTCCATCAGCACTTAGCCCTGATCCACTGCACTCTGTGTTAATAATTTTGAATGCAGATTAAGCATTCTATAAATGAATTCTGTGGGCAAGTTAGGATATCAGAAATTGCCTTTATGAAAACCTATCTTACTCTGTCCATACTGTACCTTCAATTGGCAGTCAGTCATACCAGTGCCCAACCTACTATGGCTTTAAGTGATCCAAAACTTATTTCTTGGCCCAGGTGCTAAAGAGGGACCTTTTGTGGTTGAGTGGAGACAGAGAGAGAATTACCCACATACTTTGGCAGGAGTTAAAATAACAATAACAGTCCTCCTGCTTAACAGGCTGAGTCATGAGCATATTCTACTGATTTCTCAGCAATTCTGAGCAGATTGTTTGGGCTGCAGTTCTGTAGGCAGAGGTGGGTGCACCTGCTACAAAAAGCACTAGCTCTCACTGGGAGGGCCCTATTATTAAGTCTTGTCTTTTAGCAGTTTGGCCAAATGGCAATAGGAAAAGGAAACATTTGGTCCTGATAAGGATTTTTTTTTTTCCTAATGCAATACAAGAATGTGGTCTAAGCACAATTATTTACCAGCCATATGTATAAGTCACTGAAAAAGCGAGGCTCATTGTAGAAGTTCTTAGCCATCAAATCTTGCAGGCTATCTGCATTCAAAAGTCTTTTGGAAATCAATAACAGTAGCCTCGTCTCAGTC